ATTGAAGGCGTCCCCTGGCTGTCTCAGCTGTCTTGACGAGGGTGGGGCCCGGGCGGCTTGAGGGGTCAACGCTGGTGGCCGAGGGCCCGGTGGAGCCTGGCTGTGGATTTGCAGCAGCCCCCGTCCAAGGTAGCTGGGGGATTGTCCTGCGGAGCTCAGCAGGAAGAGGCAGAGGGTTTGCCCGAGGAAGGCCAGCACCGAAATCATCACTGAGTCGTCAATATGTCAAGAACCTGAGTTAGGAGGAAGGGAGCAAGGGTCTGGAGCAGAAGGAGGTTATAGTGGGGGGCCTGGGGGCTCTGGGAGGTGGGTCTTAGAGCCTGTGATGTCAGGGATGGAACAGTTTGGGGGCCAAGAGGGCGCGGCCACGTGAGCAGGAGCCTGCAGTGAAGTGGACGAGAATATCAGCACCGTCTGGGAGGTCCAGGAGGTGACAGTGGCGCTGGCGTGGAGAAGGTCCCCAGGGTGATGCTTGAGGCTGCTGTGGAGAAGAGGGCCTTGAGACCGTTGTCAAAGTCCTGTGTGAGCAAAGAAGGCACCACGGGGCCCGTGGCAGGTAACGTGGGTGAGGAGGGGTGGGGAGGGAGAGCAGCAGGAATCGAAAGGATCGGGGGCATTCGAAGGATGGTGGAGGGAGGGCCACGAAGGGAGGGTCAGGGGGAGAGGAGGCCGCTGGCACAGGCTGGCTCCTCACTCCTCGTGAGGGAGAGCCAATGGTTTTCCGGACCCCGCAGGGTGAGAGCTGCGTGTCCCAGGTGTGCGTTAGGGGAACCCCGTCCCCGTTACGACAAGATGGAGAACCTGGGAGGCTGTGTTTCTGGTGCCCCGGACACAGCCGGCCCTCTGGAAGGGATGTGGAGGGGGGAAGGGGAAAAACAGAGCTGTGCTCTTTGGGATGACCCCCTTATCTTCTCTCGCGGGGGCTCCTCACCCCCTGCCATGTCTCCCCCAACCTGCCTCTCACCCACCTCGGCAATGCTGGGGGTGGCCCACTGCTCTCAAGGTAAAGTCCCTGCTGTTTAGCCTGGTACCCAAGCCCCCCTTGGAAAATTATCGTCTGCCGCCCTCCCCCCACCTCACTCTCGTCCTAAATCTCCGCACAGCAGAACTCCTTAGGTCTCCGAGGGCGCCACCGTGCATCAGGCCTCTGGACCCCCACACGCACCGCGCCCTCTGCCCGGAACACCTTTTCCACCTCATGTGCCTAGAAAATGCCAACAAGTCTTTCAAGCTTCTCTGGAGAAGCTTCTCCGACTCCCTCCAGGAGTGGTGATCACCCCTTATTTTGTGCTGTCACTTTTCCCAGTCTTCCTTGTCTTATAAATCGGTCTGTCCCACTAGTCTAGGAGCCCCTCGGGAAGACAGACAGTGTGACGTTCGTGTCTCCACCCTCCATCACCAGCCTGGTGCCTGGGATACAGTCACACTCAGTTAATATTTAATGCACTAGAGGACAAACTCATAGCTAATTACAAGAGCCAGCGCGTACTAAGTACTTGCTGTAATTCCTAGCACTGTGCTAAGCTCTTTAAATCCATCACTTTTGGGACGCCTGGGTGGCTCAGTCGGTTGGGCATCTGACTTCAGCTCAGGTCATGATCTCGGGATTCGGGAGTTCGAGCCCCATGACGGGCTCTGTGCTGACAGCTCAGAGCCTGGAGCCTCCTTCGAGTTCTGTGTCTCCCTCTCTCTCTGCCCCTCTCCCCGCTCACACTCTGTCTCTCAAAAATGAATAAATGTTAAAAATAAAATAAAATAAATCCATCACTTTATATTAGCCCCACGAGAAGGGTAGTGTAGATACTGTCCTTATACCCATTTTACAGATGAAGGGACTGAGCCTCAGGGAGGCGAAGTGACTTGCGCCAAGGACGTTGAGCTAGTTGGTGGTAGAAATGGGCTTTGAACTCAGGGCTAACCGAGCTAATCGCTAATGCAATTAAGCACTATCCTATATTGCCCCCATGAAAGAGAGAATAACAAGATCGCAGAGATTAACAGGGTCGGGGAGACTAAGGTTTGTGGGGGAGTCTGTGATAAATTGATATTAACAAAGTCAGTTTTGTGTGTGTGTGTAACACGGATGGCCACGGTCACTGTTGGTTGCCTGCCCAGAAGCCCATTGTCCCTTCTTCAGTGCAACAGAGTTCTGCTTTTGTCCATGAACACTCTTCCCCACATAATCCTGATTGGTCTAAGCTGATAGCATCATCCTTCTTGTCTGCAATTGGTTCACTGGTGGACATGTGATCCGGTTAGCTTAATTAAAGAAAATTGTGGTCAATATATGTAACACAGAATATACCATTTTAAGCATTTTAAAATGCCAGTTAACTCTTTAAAAACAGACTGCTGGACTTGTTGCTGGACTTAGTGGGGAAAGATGTGGTGCCTGGAGCTCTTGCAGCCATCTTGTGATCAGGAGGGCAGTAGCTGTGGTGCTGAGGTTGATAGAATGAGAATATAGGAAAGAATCTGATTCTCGATGTGGTTGCTGAGCTGCTGGATCATTCCTACCTCTGCCCTTCTTGATAGATGAGATAATAAACCACCCTGCTGTCTAAGCTATTTTGAGCTGGTCTTCTGTTACTTGTAGCTGAAGGTATACTGGTAAGGTGACAACCCCGCTGGGAGAACAGTTCTCACCTGGTAAAGGATGACGTAAACTATAAGGAACTTTGCTGATCTCTAGGAGCTACAGCCCAGGCCTGGATCCACTGACCTTTGGTCTTCTAATGAGAAGGGTGATCTTGGTTTGGGTAAGGAATGATAATGACCTGAGATGTCATCTGAATCAGCTGGCAGGATCTACAAAAGGCACAATCCTAGCTGTCCGGAGGTCCAGTTCACCAAACATCAGTTAGGTATGTTCATGGTGCTGGGGTCCTCAGGATGAATCAGACACAGGTTTTGCCCATAAGAGGCTCACAGTGCAGTGGGAGAGACAATCACAGGCCAGTGATGAGTGATGTGTAGGTCTACACAAGGTCCAGAGCCTGACGTGCAAGGTGGCTGGGTAAAACTTCATGAGGGCATTTTGAAAGACAACAAGAGAAAGGGTCAGAGAGAAAAAAAAGCATTTCTTGGAAGAATGGGCAACATATGCAAATTCGGGACAACCTGGCTCCCTCGGGAAAATTACAAGTCATTTAGCGTAATGGCAACCGGGTTGGCCACCTACAGGTCATATGTCTCTGGGCAAATTACTTGATGTTCCTGAGGCTCAGAACTCACATTTATAAGAGAAAAAGAAAAAAAAAAAAAAAAAAAAAAAAGGAAAAGCAAATGGCTGCAAAATTAGGCAACAGAAAAACATGCGAAGCACAGGGCTTGGCATATATTAGGTGCACAAGAAATGCCCTTTATTTTCGTCACATGGTTCTAATTCATTATCTTCCCTGACCCAGGTGGTTTTCTTCCCTTTCTCACTCATTCCTGAGCCTAGTAGTGAGGCCCCCCCAACTCCCGCAGACTTTTCCTCAGGCAGGAAACCCGAGCCCACGGCCTGGCCTAAGACATCTTCTAGGGCTGGATGGTTTGTGTGATTCCTTCTCTTCTCTCTCTTTTTTCCCCTAAATGCAACAAAATAAAACCAAACAAAAAGCCCAACGCCTGGCGTGGCTTGTCAGGGAGTTATGCAAGTGTGTAAAAAAATAAAATAAAATAAACACTGCGTTTTCGGCATTTGGGGCTGTTTGATTAGGCACGGAGCAGAGCCAAGGGCCGGTGAGACATAGGGACAGCTCAGGGCAGAGTGGACAGGGGAGCGGCTTTGAGAGGGAGCTGGGGGTGGGGGCAGGAGGAACTTGGAAATGGCTGTTTGCCTCTTGCAAACTTGGCAGGGCTGTGGCTGAATGAGCCCAGCCACTGGGCATTTGGGACCCAACTGCTCCACATTCTTTGGCCATTCACCATCCCTGTTCCCTGGCCACCAGGACACTCCAGGGGTCATTCCATCTATTCCCCTGTCACTGTAAAAGACCCTGCACCCTTGTCTCAATAGTTAGGGCTCCCGCCTCCCGTCCTGAGGAGATCCCACAGCCTGTCTTGATTACTCACCACCCCTATCCGTGTGCCCAGCGCCCCGGGCCCCCCCCCCCCGCCATCAGTATAGCTTTTCTGCTCTAACTTAACTCCTGCTAACTACAGTTTTAGCCCATTTTCCTTTAACCAGTCTGAAATGAAGCTGGAGAACAGCTGTTTGCCGCCCCAAGACGTGAGTCTCCCTCCCTCCCTTCATCAGGCTTGACTTCAACATCATGTGGGTCCCTGCGGGTGTCCGCAGCCCTTCAAGACACTCCACAGGCATTCACAGCTCCCCCGCCACTTACCAGGCTGTTGTAGCTTTCGTTTCACTGAACCCTCAAAACAGATGAGGCTCAGAGAGGTTAAGTCACTTAGGTAGGGCCACACAGCTGGTAAGTGATGGAGCAGGGGGTTGACTCTGGGTTTTATTTCAGAATTCCCCCTCGCTCTTCGGCAGCATGTCCGTGTGGAGGCGTCCTCGCCCGGATTTACCAGAATCTCACAGCCTCACATTTCCTCTGAACTGGGAAGATGCTCTGAAGACTCTACCCTGGGAGGAGGAGGGCGTGGCCAGGACCACGGGCCCTGTCGAGCCTGTTCCTTGTCACTTTCTAGATTCCTGATAGGGAAACTGAGGTTTCGAGAGGCTCTCAGACCCAGTTCTGACCCCCACGATGCCTGGAGCTGCGGCGGGTGCTGCGGCTGCGTGGAATCCCCAGAGTGCGGGGCGTGGGGAGGGGAGGAGGCAAGGGCAGAGGGTCTGCGCCAGGCCCCAGAGGACATGTGCCGCGGCCAGCCCCGCGCTCCAGCGCAGCGCCCCAGCTGCGGGCAAGCGCTTGCGGGAGGGGGCTACGGACTCCCGGGCCTGGCACTCCAGTCCGTTTTTTGCTGCGGATCCCGGCAAGGGGGGCCGGCTCGGGGGGTGGGACTGCAAAGGGGGGGGGGGATTCCCTCCCTCGTGCGAGCGGAGGACTGGCCCCTCTCCGGGCTGGGAGCTCCGGCCGAGCGGAGGCGCGACGGAGAGCACCAGCGCCGGGCGGAGAGCGGGGAGCGGACCGCCAGAGTGGGGCTTTGCGGAGAGCGAGGGCCGGACCGAGCCGCCCCAAAGGACCGATGCGCCGGGTGGGGCGCTGGCCCCGGAGGGCGTGAGCCGCCCGCAGATTGAGCAACTTGGGAAAGCGCGGGCGGAGCGGGGCGAGCCGGGCGCCCAGGACAGTCCTGCGGCGGGCGGGCGGGTGAGCCGGCCGCGCCCTCGCCCCTCCCGGGCCTGCCCCCGCCGCGGCTGGCAGCGCGGAGGTGAGTGCCCCCGGAGCTGCCCCGTCCTTCTCCCTGGCGCCCCCTTTCCCGGGACCCGGGGCGCCGCGGGCCGTGCCGTCGGGGCTCCGCCGAGCTGAGTGCGGGGGGTGGGGGCGGGGGGCGACAGCGAAGGGAAGGGGACTTCTGACTGCCGTCGGGTCGGAGGGCGGGGGAGGGCACCTCCCGGAGCCGCTCCTGCTTGTCCCGCCACCTCCGTCATCCCTCAAGCCAATGCGCAGCCCCCTCCCGGTTGCTGCCCACGGTTCCCCTCAACCCCGCAGTCCCCGGTGACCGTCTTCACTCTCAATCTCATCCCATCTGACTCTGACTCTGAAACTGACCGAAGCTGATCGTTCTGGATTCCCCAAACCCATCCGCCCTATTCACCCCTCCTCCCCAAGCCAGAAGTTCTTGATCCCCTGGTGTCATCGCCTCGGATCCCCCTGAATCCCATGGCCCCTGGCTCCCCCCACCCCAGTCCCGCAGCCCGGGTCCGGGTCCGACGTGGCAGGCAGCTAGCACGGCCTCCCCCAGTGCCCTGCGAGGTGGCGCGACTCCCTGACCCACGCGGGTCGGGCGCTGAGGGACGGGGGTGCTGCTTGGTCGGGGAGAGGTGGGGGCTGTGTTCGCCCGGGGTTCAAAGGAGGGCGACGACGGATTCTGGGTGCGGGCGCTTGGGGGCAGGGCTTTTCTTGTGAAACTGGCCTCTTAAACTTGGAGAGTCCTCTTGGATTTGGGGGGACAGCCAGAGGTCCGCCTCCCCTCCCCCTGCACCTGCTGGGCCTCTCCCGGATAGTGGGGAGGGAAGAAGAATTTGCGCGCGTGGGGCGCAGATGGAGGGACGTGAAGGAGCCTTTCCCCGATGCCGTCGGTGTTGGGGGGTGGGGGGCGGCCCCAGCACCTGGCTTGGCTCCGGCCGACACTCTAATCCCGACAGGTCGGGCAGGCACGTACTTGGTCCCGCCCCCCGCCCAGCAATGCTTCTGCCCCCGCCCGCCAGCCGCGAAACTCTCCACCCGTAGCCGGTCCCGGGGAGGGTTAATGAGAAATTATCGGGATGGTTTACATTTTTGGGTCTGTATCCGGCCCCGGACGGAGTACCAATTTATCCTGATAGTGTTACAGGCAAGAAGGTGAAAGTGACTCCAACCTTATGGGGGCACCGAGTCCCCGCCCTCAGCTCCACCCCCGGCTGTGTTCCCCTCCGCAGCCTGTGCCCTTCTCTGACGAGACCACCTAACAGGGAGGGCACCGCCTCTCTCCTGGGTCTCCCGCCCCAGCTCTGCCTCTGCCGCCAGTTCCTTCCCCACCTCCGGGGTCAGCTCCCTGTCCCTTGCCTCGCCCTCCAGACACTCAGTCCTAAGGTTGGTAGCCCTGAGACCCGTAACCTGTCTGGACCAGAAAAAAAAAAAAATGGGAGTAATTCTACTTCCTTCCTAGAGTTGTGCTCAGTGAATGAGGGCCTAGCGCATGGCAGGTGGTGCAGGTACCTGATGAATGTGAGCCTTTCACCCTGACCCTGGCTGAGACAAAATGCTCTTCCTTCCCCACCCCACCCCCCCCCGGGGTGCCTGAGACCTTGATTACTGCCAGCAGTTCCCATCACTGGCTCTGCCCATCCAGGGTAGTCTGTGTGTGTCCACTGCCCTTGGGGGTCGTGGGGTAGGACGGGCAGGGGCTGGCTGGAGCTAGCTGGATGCACCCACCTGTGATCTTCTGGGGCTGGGTTCTACCGTGTTTTCAGTCTGAGACCTGTCCAGCTTTAAAAATTGCATTTCACATGCGATTCTGAATTTTCAGCTTCTCTTTTTAAAAACATCAGAAGGTCTGACCATATGAAACCATTATTTCTGCCCATCGACAATCGATCAACTGAAAGTGCTTGAACTTTTCCCCATCCAGTGATAGGTGAGGGAGGCCAGTGTCATTTGCTCCAGTGAAATTCCTATGTGGATCGTCCTGCCCGTTTTCTAGCTGAGATCGTGGTTCCATAGTGATTCAGGTGGGAGAGGGCCAGGGTGAGCATGGCAAGAGCCAGGCTGAAAGCTAAGCCAGAGTGGGGGTGGGGGTGGAGGCGGGGAGGATTGAAGGGAATAGAAGGAAAGTAGAGGCAGGGCAAGGAAGGGAGCTGACCTTTGCCGAGCACCAAGCCCGATGTGCCAGGCACCGAGCCAGGCAGACACAGGAGATGCATAGGAGACCTTTCCTGCTCGTAGGACCCCATCGATACTGATCGCAGAGTGAGACCCAGGATTTAACACCAGTTGATCTGCGTGGCCTTCTCCTGCAGTGTTTGTCCGGTGTAAGGACCCACGGCACCCCGAGCATGTATCTGCCAGGGGTCCCAGGACCTCACTTCCACACATGCCTCAATTAAAAGTTAACCCTGCCATGCTGAGTGATCGCATTGGGGCCAAGGCAACTGACCATAAAGATCCAAAAATGGAGATTGCGTAACAGTGCTCAGCATCGTGGTTGGGATCCAGATGATACCAAAACAAAATGAAACACCCGTCTCGCTCTTTAGATGACCATTGGCGTGTCGACACAAAATTGTGTCTTCTTGGTCACAGAAAATACAACAGCTCCGAGCGAGCCGTTCTGAGCAGCGGCCTGCATTAACTCGTTTAAGCCATGAAAAACAACCACCCTCTTGCAGATAAGGACACTGAGGCGACCGCCCAGTCCCACCTGCGGTAACCGCTAACACATAGCGTGGCCAATACGGTGATCTGACTTCCGCTCTTAAGCATCGTATGTTCCACGGGCCAACCTCTGGCTGAAGACCCCAGTTCGATAAGCTCAGCCGGATGACGGTGATTTGTAGGCGATGGAAGTGTGTGGTGGGGGCTGGGGAGCATGGGAGGCTCTGGCAGTTCACGCAGGGAGTACTGGAGGGGCATGTAGGGGCTGGCATTTGGGGGTGGCTGGGGGCGTCTCCCCTGGCTCCGGCTGCAGCGCCAGGTGGGACCCGTCAGCCTCGTGTAAACACTTCTCCGGGCAGCTTAACCACTTGAGTGTGACTGGCCTTCAAAGCCGGGCGGGAGAGGCCGAGGAGGGAGGTGCTGAACTCCCTCGTGGGATAATGATTTATCTCCCATGCAGGTGGGCTCACTGGGGCCTCCCTGAGAGGCGAAGGGGAAAGGGACTGGGATGGGGTGGGCGGGGCACTGCCACTCTAGCATTTCAGATTTCTCATTCGTAAGCCAAAAACTCAGCCAACTCTCAGAGCAAGCCTGTGAAATAGGCATCTTTGTCCCCATTCTATAGATGAGGAAACTGAGGTTCAGGGAGGCTCAGTGACTCGTTCAGAGGCATCTAACCAGCAGACGGGAGGGCAGTGCTTCCCTGGCATCTCCAAAGCTTCCCGAAGGCTCGCTGTTTCCTTCTATCCCTGGGTGAGCGTGGGCGGGTCCGCACCAAAGTGTTCAGGGCAGTGCTCGGGCAGACCTCTCTGCTGGGAGAATGTGTGGGAGCGCGCCATCCTGAGCGTGAAGCGGGGTTTTCGGCCTCGGACTCCCCGGTCGGGCTCCAGACACATTTCACTGGGGAGGGACCAGCTCCCCCTGCCCCCATCACCCAGCCAGCGGGTCCAGAGACCTGGCTCTCGCTGGGCTGGGGGATTATCCCCATTCTCTGTGTCTCTGGCCAGGGCGGGCATCGCTGCCTCTTTTATCCTCTCACAAAGGCCAGGCCCGCGGGGCCTGCTGTGTCAGAGTTTCTGTGGCGGGGGGAAGCCTTACTTCCTTTTCTCCCACCAAGCCCAGAGGGCCACGCAGAGTCTGCCGGCTTGTCGGGGGCCACTGCTCTAGCCCCACAGGTGAAAGGCACAGGGGTGACTCAGCACCGGGAAGAGAGGGCTGAGGGGTCCCTTACAGAAGGACAGAGAGAGCTCCTCTTCTAGAGAGAGGCGATTGCTGCAGCATGACGTCCGTAGGATAGACCTAAAGAAGGACTTCCAGTTAGAGCCCGGCCAACATTGGGCAGGGGTGGGGCCAGCTAGTTCCCAGTGATCCACAGATTTGATCTGTCTACCATATTCCAGCTGCTTGGGTAGCCGGCTCCAGTCCCAGGTTAGGGGACTCTGCAAACTTCCTGGGAGAAGGGGCAGATTCCTTCTACAGGGGTGCCAGGTGGGGAGTTTGTAACATTCAACCATTCTGAGTTCTCACAGTCTCCTGGCTAAGGAGAGCCACAGGGGAGGGTAGGAGGTATAAACTGGGGGGGACCGCGTGGTTCCCCAGAATTAACCTTTCTTTCTCCTCCCCTACCAGGTTGGTTTTTGGAGGCGTCCCTGCTGAAGTGACAAAGAGTTCTCCCACGTGACACCCCAAGGTGCCTTTGAGGAACGCTCTCTGGACCTCCCTATGGGCTGATGAAGAAGTTGCCTCCCCACGCCCTCTGTGTCCCCAGCTGAGATTATGGTGGATTTGGGATACGGCCCAGGCCTGGGCCTCCTGCTGCTGACCCAACCCCGCAGGCGTTAGCAAGAGCCCTGCACTGTCCGCCCCCCCCTCCCCAGAGACCACCCCTCCTACCAGGGGCCTGGAGTTGGCGAGTGACTATGCGGCTTGGGCTGTGTGTGGTGGCCCTGTTTCTGAGCTGGATGCATCTCGCTGCCGGCAGCCGGGGGATCAAGGGGAAGAGGCAGAGGCGGAGTGAGTAATGGAGGGGGGCCGGACCACGGCTGGCCTTGGGAGTGGGCGGGGGCCGCCTGGGGACTAGAGGGCCATCGGTGGTTTCCTTCTCTGATGACCATTGCAGATTCTACTTGTCTATCGCCACTTCGTACTTTCCTCAGTAGATTATCCTGCTTGTGGATTATCCAGCTTGTGGATTGATTTGGGGGAGATTACCCACTCTGCAGATTACCCACGTCGTCTGTTTTCCCCTTTGTAGACTCTGCTTTCTAGATTAACCTCTCTCTTGTGAGGATCCAGTTTGTGGATTATGCCCCTTTGACATAACACCAGCTTTGTGTGGTATCCATGGAGATGTGTCCCCTACCGCTGTGGCCTGGGGTTCATGGTCCTCTCCTCACCGACAGGAGTTCAGGGCTCTTTTCTTTGAGTCTTGGCTGGAGTGCAGCCCTCAACCCCTTGGGGCCATGAACTCTGCTCAGCTTGGGCAACGGCTTTCCCTGCCCAGATCACCGGGCAGAGACAGCGGAGCAGGGAGGCCCTTGAGACTATCCACTCCCGTGGTTTTTAACTCTGCCCGGTGGGATTCAGGGAGCCGCACGGGGGGGCTGAAAGGGAGGCAGTGGGAAGGCGTCTGGCCCCACTGCCCACCCAACCAGAGCGCCTCACTCTTCCCTGCTTTCGGTAAGATTCCACGTAAGATGTCACTGGAAAGAAGGGTCCTCCCAGTTTAAAAACTAAACCGAACTAAATTCTATTATTGTACAGATGGGGAAACCGAGGCTAGGACACGGGAGGAGATAATAGGCCTAAAGACACAGGGTCGGTATTGGAACGTAATTAGTTCCCGTGAGCCCAGTCTTCCTAAAAACAGAGCTTGATGGAAATCGCGACTGACTGGGCAGCCCTGAGAGCCCTCGGGCCTCAGCCTGGCTCCAGCAATGGGGCACCCGTACCTGCCCAGTATGTAGTGGGAGTGGCCACTGTGTGTATGGAACCGTGCCAGGGAGAAGGAGGAGGCCGATGTTACAGACCCCAGGGCCTGTCCCCCATAAAAGATGCCACGCCCCCAGGCCGGAGGCTCCACAGAAGTGTGGCACAACCAGACGGAGGCCCACGAGTAAAGGTGGAAAGGCAGTGGAGTTTTGTCGGGCCTCTGCGGGAGCGGCCAAGGCCAGAACCCAGCCCAGGGAGAGAAGCTCAGAGAATTGGTGAAGCTGAAAATCCCCAGCTTAACAAACAATTAGAGACGGTTAGGTTTAATCAGCAGCGAGGCCTTGATTTTCCTCTCTTCCTCTCTGTTGCGGCCAGCGTTTTGGACTCCATGGGCCAGATGCGGTTTAGCGGTTCATAACCAGTCTCCTCTGTTTCCAAGATGGGAGAGAGAGAGAGAGAGAGAGAGAGAGAGCAAACGGGAGGGAGGGACGACTCGTGCTCCCGCGACGCACACTGGCGGTCACGCTTCCCGCTCGCAAGCAGAGCCACGCATCCCCCACCTCCCTAAGCCAGGGGTCGAAGAGCTGGGTTCAAGACTTTTGTACAGAAAAAAAATAAGTGAATAAAAAGCACTGGCCTGAGCCTGCAGAAAGGGCTCGGTCCCTGCAAAGGGCCATCAAATGCAGCAATTTGGATGGGTCTACTTTTTTTTTTTTTTAACGTTTATTTATTTTTGAGAGAGAGAGAAAGCGTGAGTGGGGGCAGGGCAGAGAGAGACGGAGACACGGAATCCGAAGCAGGTTCCAGGCTCCGAGCTGTCAGCACACAGCCCGACGCGGGGCTCGAACTCACAAACTGTGAGATCGTGACCTGAGCCGAGGTCAGACGCTCAACTGACTGAGCCACCCAGGCGCCCCTAGTGTATGTGAGATTTTATTCACATGTATTTATGTGTCGTGAGCTCTTTGTAAAACACCAAGCTCTGTATAGACTTTGGGATGCACGTCACTGTTATATAAACAACGTGTGGGCCATCTTGCGCTCGGGTTTTCAGGGTTGAGGGGAGGGAAGAAAGAGGCCCAAGATGTGGTGTGTGGCTACCCTGGCCTCCTAACCACTGGACGGCAGAGGAGGCTGGCTGGCTGTGCTGTGAGCCTCTGGTCTGTCGACTCTGCCATCATCTGTAACTGCGTGTCAGTAGGGCTGTTAGAAGCCACCCCATGCGGCTCTGATCTGGAGGCACACACCAGTTTTGAGTCCAGAAATGGCTGGTCGCGTGTCTGATGGTCTCCCTGCCTGGAGGGGGAGAGACTGAGCGAAGTGCTCTTCAGTTGTGAGTTTCGAACCCTGGCAGATCGACTTCCTCCTCTCCTGTTCGCTGAGGACGCATCCCCTCCCTGAACCCCGTCTTCACTCACTCCGCCTCTTGTCTTCTCGCCCTCTCCGGAATGCCTTCCCACCTGGATTTTGTGCCCCTCACCCTGCCCTCATGTTCTCACTACTCCTGGCATTGAGGGCTCCTTCCCCTTACTGAGACCCTTCTCCTAACTGATTCCTGGGCCCCTTGCTTAGTCCTGCTCCCATGAAGCCCCCATTCCTTCACTGAACCCTGACTCCCCCATCCAACCCCATCCAGACTTTGTGGGGAAGTGAGATCAGGGGAGACTTCCCGGAGGAGATGACTTTCGTTCTGAGGCTTGAAAGAGTTACTCAGGCTCAGGAAGTGGCAGAGAATGTTCCAGGAAGAAGGACCGATTTGGGCAAAGACACGCAGGTGTGAAATAGTGTGATGTGGCCAGGCCCCCCCCCCCCAAAAAAATAGCTGTGGATGGCTGAGGGGTAGTGTTGAGAAATGAGGAGGGTAGGATCAGCTCAGGGAAGCTTTCCAGGCCAGGCGGAGAAATCTATAAGGCCAGATGGGTCTCAATTCTGCTGGTAATAGGGAGCCATTGAGGGATGTTGGGCAGGGGTGTTTTGGCTTTAGGAATATCAACTTGCAGGGGTTTTGCACAAGGATGAAAGAGCCACACAGGCCGCGGGGGAATGGCGGGGGGAGGGCACAGCCTTGCCTTCCTGGCCTGGGGAAGTGGGCTTCACTGAGGACTTGGGGGAGGGCAGGCAGAGCCGTGGGAGAGGCTTTTGTGAAGAGGTTGGGAAGCAGGCTCCATCCCTACTCCGAGTGCCCTCCACTTCATCCAGCCCACCCAGCCTCCTCAGCCAGACTGCGGCCCTCCAAGGCTGCCTCCCCCGTGTGCCTCCCTCCATCGTAGGCAAAGGGTCCTTTCGTATGGTGAATCTGGCCATGCCCTTCTGCGGTCACCCTCCCTGCCAATAGGAAAAAGCCCTATGTTCCATTCTGTGAATGCACTAGGATGTTCGGTGCCTCAGAGCCTTTGCACAGGCCGTTCCTCCTGTCTGGCACACCCTCTTCACCTAGCCGGCTGGGTAAGGGAGTGCCTTTCATTACTCATCCACTTACACGGTGCTAGCCAGCCCTGCCTGCCGCATCCCTGGGTGGGCCTTTGTTTATATCTCCAGGTCCCCAAGCTCCTAGCACTTCTGGGCACGTGTTAGGTGTGCCATAAACGTCTGTGGAATGAACGAGCCTCGGTTTTTCCCTTTGAATCATGACGCGCCCCCAACACCCACCGTCTTCCTTGGACCCCCCCTCCCACACACAGACCCCCCTCCCTATGGCTGTCCATTGCCCCACTGCCCGTGCGTTTGTCTCACTAAGCCGAGAACAGCGTTGGGTTCCTATCCTTCTTGACCAGCATCCCTTTCCTCACTGAACTTCCCAGCTTCTCTCTGAGCCCCTCCTCCTCTGCTGGCCTGTGAAGCAAGCGCGGCCAGGCTGCTCAGCCTCTGCCCGGGAATGCCTCTACTTCCACGGTGGAACCACGGATGCCCACGGCTTCCACGGACAGATCCCCGGGGTCTCTTCCCCACTCCGCAGCTGATTTCTTGAAGGAGATGGCTCTTCTTCCTCTGCTCCTCGACCACTGCCCTCTGCCCTTGCCCCCACCAGGGGCGCCAACCCCTGTCCTCTGCTGCCTCGTTATCTGACACCTCAGCAGCCAGGGTCCTGCCCAGGGTGCTCTCCTCTTGGCTTGCACTGAGTTAGGTCCCTACCTGTCCGGTTGCCCCCTCGCAGCCTCCTAGCCGCCCTTCTTTCTTCTGTCCCTCCCTTAACTTCCTAATTCCTCCTCTCACCCTCTGTGCCCACTGTCCGCTGCCTCATGGGCCCCCATGCCTTCGGGACTGTTTTCGTGCCAAGGACTCCACATCGAGGTCTCCAGCCAAGGTGTTTTTTCTCTCGAGCTCCAGAGCTACGGGCTCGACTTCCTCATAGACACCTTCCCCCGGATGCCCCACAGGAACCACAACCTCAACCCATCCAAAACCCGACTATGCATCATCTCCCCCACCCAAACCTGCTCCTCTTCCTGCGGTCCCTCTCTCGGTGAAGGGCCAACAGCCACCCTGTCACACAAGCCCGACACCTGGGAGTCACCCTCGGCTTGCACTTTCCCCAGCCTCTCGGCCCCACGTCCAGCCCATCACCTGGTCTGGTTGCTTCTCCCACCTGAATATCTTACCTATGTCTGCTCCTTTGCATCTTCTTGGTTCAGCTGTGTCTCTTCGAGCTGAGGAGTCTTCCTGCCTCCAGATTGCCATCCCCGCAACCCTTTCTCCATACCATACAGTGATCCTGACCACGTCTCCGATTTTAAAGCCCCCAGTAATTCCTCACTGCCTGTAGGGCAGTGTCCAAACTCCTGTGTACAGGTTTAAGACCCTTCCTCATCTGGGCCTGCTTCCCTCTCCAGCTTTCTGTCTTACTCTTCCCTCCGTGGTCCACCCCCCCCCCCATGCTGATTTCAGACCCCGAGTGCTCCACGCTTTCTCTTGCTGTGTCATTGAGAGATCCGAAGAGAAATGCACACAGAGATTTGTTGTCGGTTGAATGTGAGGAGGATTGCAGTATTCTGAGGGGCCTTTTGCAAATCTGTCCTTAACAAAAGTGACAAGGACGGAATGAATGAGCATGGGGACATAGCTATAGTGGCTGGCAAATGGGACACCTGGATCAGTTCGATTATTGAAACCCAGGCAAGATGGGGTGCCTGGGTGGCTCAGTTGGTTAAGACTCCCGACTTCGGCTCAGGTCATAGGTCATAATCTCGTGGTTCACAAGTTCGAGCCCCGCGTCAGGCTCTGTGCCGACAGCTCCGAGCCTGGAGCCTGCTTCGGATTCTGTGTCTCCCTCGCTCTCTGCCCCTCCCCCGCTCATGCTCTGTCTCTCTCTTTCTCAAAAATAAATAAACATTAAAAAATTAAACAACAACAAAAAAGAAACCCAGGCAAGAATAGAGGGAACATTCATTTCAACAATGTATTCAGTAAGAATCTTGCATAACAGAGGATGTAATGTCTTGGGGGTAGAAGCAGTACCTAAAATCTGCAGTACCTTATTAATTTGTAACACAGCCGAATAAAGACTCAAAGTGGAAAAGTAGTCCCCAGGGCTCCCGCGTAACGCCAATGCAACATGTGAGTATTTTTGCTCTTAGAAGAACTAAACCAAGAACAATATTAATTGTTAAGTGCACTGGTCGATTAACACTGACTCTATGCAACTAAATTCTATACTTAAAAAAAAACAACAACAATCGACTCCTACTTCTGGTCCCCACGTCACCCGGCGTGGTCCTGCCCTTGGCCTTCCTAAACTTCGTTCCCTCTGCCTGGAGCACGTGCGGGCCTCGAAGACTTGGCCAAGTCCCGTCACTTCTCCAGGTCCTCCCCCGTAAAAATGAGGATGATAACATAATAACAGCACCTGCTTCATGGATTGTGCGAGTTAAGTGAGTGAACACTCGATGACCTCTGAGGACAGATTCAGTTCTGGACGCTTGGTAGTTAGCGGCCGTTGCCGTGGTTACCGCGTTGTGACATGGTTGTGTTCGTCGTGGTCTTTTTCGCTTCTTCTGCTCGCCTTCTCAACTCCAACTCATTCTCCTGTTCTGAAATCAGGGATCACTCCTCCCAGCAGCCCTCCAGAGTGGACATCCTCACGTCCCTCTCCGGTGGTGGCAAGGGAGGCACACTAGACACTGTGTTTCGCCCCGGGTCACAGGCTGGGGACTTGGCTCCAGCTCTAGGTGACTCGGGAGCCTGAGCTGGGGGTCCACTATGCTGCGTGTAGTGGCAGTGGTCCCGCCGTCTGTTCTGATCCTGCGCTCACCCCAGACTCCTCCCCCCCTGTTGGTCACTTCCGCCTACCGGTTATAGTCCCTAAGCTTTTCTCAAATCTGTTTCTGTCCATCTCCAACTGAGCAGGATTTTCTTTCAGACATTCTCATCTTCCTCATCTGGATGAGCTGGTCCACTTCCTTCCAAATGGTCCTTCAGTCTCTGGTCTCCACCCACGCTGCCGGAGGAACCTTCCAACGTACAAATCAGCCCGGGTCCTGCACCTTGCCGATAGCTTCCTCCTGTCTAATCAGCTCGGAGAAATGTCCCAGGAAAAGCTCTGCAAAACAAGGGTTCTGTGGCCAAAATGTTTGGGAAACAAAGCTTCCTCTGTCCCCCTCTTAGGGAGCCACTGCACGGGAGCATAATAAAAGGGTTGAAGACGCCCTACAGTAAAGAATCCTGTTTAGACTTGTGGGACCCAGCGGTTCTCAGTCTTACCTGACGTAGTGGCCTTTTCTCCACGGCCTTTGATGAACATCTAGGGGAGAACATGGTCCCAGGAATGCTCTTTGGGAAACACTGCCTGGCAGGATCAAGTTCAAATTCCTTACCGTGATATCGAAAGCTCTTATCTTTCGCCATCCCCCTCCCTACCCCTCCTGCACCCCAAATTATCTGCAATTCCCCTGGCTGTTTTACACCTCTGTGGTCCTGTTCCTAGAAGGCTGTGATCTCTACTTCCTAATGGACGAATCTCTACGGATTCTTCAAGAGTCGGCCCAAATGGCGCCTCCTTTGTGACTCCTTCCCTCTCTTCTTTTTGGGTTCACTATCGCCAGGCCTGCGGCTGTCAGCATTTGCCCGTCTGCAGGTCTGTCGGCACCACCGAAAGATCAGTTTGGAGGGTCAGGCGACCTCGTGTCCAGGCCCCTGGCGCTCACACTGCACAGGGTACTTGGGAGGGGCTCGGGGAGTGTTGGTTAAACAAGTCCATAAAGGAATGACATCGAAGGTTTGAGACCCCGTGCGGGGGCTGGAGATCACACCGCCTCAAAGGATGGCCAGGGTTTCTCAACCTCAGCATCAGTGCCATTTTGAACCAGACAATTTCTTGCGGGGGCCACCCCGTGCATTATAGGATGTTTCGTGGCATCCCTGGCCTCTCTCCATACCGGTAACAACGCCCCTCCCCGGAGTGACAGGTCCCTAGACGTTGCTACATATCCCCTGGGGAGCAAAATCGTCTCTGGTTGAGGCCACTGTTCTGGACATAGTTATTCTAGTTGTTTTCCTGTCTCTGACCAGATGATCCTTTGCTCAGATAGGTTAACCCATTGTCCTTCTTGACCTTAAACCTTTCTCAAGGCTAAAAAATACCCGCCTTCCATACCTGAGCCTTCGTACCTGAGGCTGAACCTTGCGTCCTCTGGGGAGGGCAGGGGTAGGTCCTGGGAAGCGTGCGGCTTCAGCAGCTTCTCCCGCAAGGGTAGAGCAAGCCCGGAGAGCGAGCCTGTGTTGTGCCTGGAGCTAGAGAGACACTTAGGGTGGACGAGGGCACTTGCTTCAGGCATCTGTGCTAGTTCCCTTGAGAGATGATGCTGGGGAGGTTTACAAAGCAGTCTTAAAATGTTTATTCATTTTCGAGAAAGAGAGAGACAGAGCGTGAGCGGGGGAGGGGCGGAGAGAGGGGGAGACACAGAATCGGAAGCCCTGAGCTGTCAGCACAGAGCCCGACGTGGGGCTCGAACCCACGACCCGTGAGCTCATGACCTGAGCCGAAGTCGGACGCTTACCCGACGGAGCCACCCACGCGCCCCTATGAAACCGTCTTAAAGAGGTGCCATCCTGGCATGTGCCTCCTGAGAAGCACAGTCATTGCGCGGGAAGAAACCCCAATCTACTCACTTCCCAACCGTGTGGGGGCCTGGGAAAGACGGTGGCCTCGCCTACAGCCCCTCCTTCCCCCTGTCCCACCCTTGCAGTCAGTGCCGAGGGGAGCCAGGCCTGCGCCAAAGGTTGTGAGCTCTGCTCGGAAGTCAACGGCTGCCTCAAGTGCTCGCCCAAGCTGTTCATCCTGCTGGAGAGGAACGACATCCGCCAGGTGGGCGTGTGCTTGCCCTCCTGCCCTCCTGGCTACTTCGACGCCCGCAACCCCGACATGAACAAGTGCATCAGTGAGTGTGGGGAGGGCTGGAGAAGGCTCTGGCCCCCGGGGGAGGGTGCTTCGGACCGTTGGTGGCCGGCAGGAGGAGTAGAGGGGACACCGAGGGGTGGGGGGCAGGGATGAGGCTCCTGATTCAAGTAATCCAGCTGCCAGCCAGGCATCTCAGAGGGTCCATTCTCCTCTCCGGCTCAGCGGGTCCACCTCAGAACCACATCTCCTGCCTCCGGACGTGCACCCACCTGCACTCCCGCAGGGTCCTGAGCCACTCACACCACCGACTGGAGAGCCGGCCTCTCGGCCTCTCGTTGTGACGCCTCCGGTCCATCCCATAACCACATGGTGCCCGCCGCCTCCCCTCTCCCTCCATCCTCACTGCCATGGTCTCACCCAGGCTCCTGGCACCTCTCCTCTGGAATATTGCAGGAGCTTGTTTATCTGTCCTCCAACCCCACCCTCCCTCCACACCACAGCCAGAAAGCCAGGTGCTTCTGAGACGTGTGTCCTTTCCCAGGACACTTCTGCTTGAACCCCCGCCCCGGGCTCCCCTGACTGCGGGGAAATTCAAGCCTCCCCTGCCTCCGCCCAGGTCTTCTCTCTGGCTGGGGTCCGCTCTATCAGCTGCAGCTCCGTGTGCTCTAAGGCACGGCCCGGCCCACCTCTGTTCAGGCTCACGGTGGCACCCTGGGGGACAGGCAGGGAACACACTCTGGTGACCAATGCCAGTGCGCCTCCCAGTTGGTCAGTGCCTCGGAGTTGAGAACGCATTTCCAGACCTCCTATCAGTGGAGCCTCACAACAGCCTTTGGAGGGAGGTGGGACCTAAGTGACAGGGGTCCTTCTTTTGGATGACAACGGTGAGGCCTGGAGGGGGAAATGACAGCCCCGAGATCGGCCCTGGGTTCTAATCTCAACTCTGCTTCTCACTCGTTGTGCAACATCAGGATTTTGCAGCCTCTCAAATCCTCATCTTTGAAATGGGAGTGGTAGTTTTTACCCCCCCTAGGGTTGTCATCAGAGGCATATCGAAAGCCCTAGATGTCTGGCGCTCTGTAAGTGGTACCTGCTGTTGTCTTTACTGTATTTCACCTGCGACCAAACCCAGGAATCAGCAAGACAGGAGGGAGGCTAGCGGAAGAAACAGAGATAAAGCCAAGAGCCCAGGAGGCACAGAGGAAGGGTGGGGTGGGGTGGGGTGGGGTGGGGAGCTTGTGAGGCTAGAGGTGGGGCCCTGGGGCTGCCCTCTTGGTCCTTGGGGTATTTGGGGTAGGAGTTCCTGGCTGTGCCAGCTCCTGCGAAACTGGCAGCCCCAGCTCCAGGTGCCAGAGACTGGGAGGAAGTTAGTCCTGCCCACGATCTGGGAAGGGAGAGATTGTGAAAGGCCCTGCCTACTCTAACCCCCACCCCCCACTTCCCCAGAGGAGGGAGAGCTGGCAGGAGGGGATGGGGAGGGACCCAGGAGTCCAGCCGGGGTGGTTCTTGGAACCAGGCCTTACAGGGGGAGAGGAATTTGCCCTGGGATCTCTCCTCTCCCCGCCCCCCTCCAAGCAGACTCCTTTCGCAGGGCAGGAGGGGAACCAGAGCGTGGGATGTCGTGGGTGCAACGGAGAGAGGAAACCGTCGTATCCCTCCGTTCGACTCTGACCCTCTGACCGGGTGGCCCTCTAGGGTGCCACGACACGCTGGGACCCTTCTCTCTCGTCCCCACTGATCCCACAAGGTGTCCTGCCCTCCTCCTCTGAAAACAGCTGTCTTGGGCCTCACCCTTGGTTCCAGGGCCTGGTGTGGGGTTTGGGGTGGAGTTAGCTGACTGTCCCTGGCAGACCCGAAGAGTGGCCACTTCGGCCTCCTCCCCCCACCCCGTCCTTGCCTTCCCTCCCACAGTCATGGCAGCTCCAGGCCAGAGTCCTGCCCTCGGGGAAGTGGGGGGGGGGGGGGGGGGGGTCCCCCCGGGGGGGGGGGCTTTGGGGATGGGAGATGAATCAGAGGGCCCCCATCTGGCCCTCTCCTCAGAGTGCAAGATTGAGCACTGCGAGGCCTGCTTCAGCCACAACTTCTGCACCAAGTGTAAGGAGAGCTTATACCTGCACAAGGGCCGCTGCTACCCAGCCTGTCCCGAGGGCTCGGCGGCTGCCAACAGCACCATGGAGTGCAGTAGTCCTGGTGAGTTTGCTGGGAGCTGCGGGCAGAGGGTGCGGGACCCCAGGGGAGGGGCGGGCAGGGTGGTGTGGGGGGCAGGGCAAGCCTGGGCTTGGGGGGGGGGGCATGCAGCAAAGCTTACCCCCCACACACACCCACCCACGACCCTGTGGGGTTTCTCTGCCCTCTGCACTGAAGATGCCTCCAGGCACAGAGCAGGTAGGGGAGACTTCCGTGGAGAATTCTGGGTCGGGGGAAGAGGTGTGACCCTCCCCCCCCCTTTCTCTCCCTCTTCCCCCGCTTCCTGCCAGCACAATGTGAAATGAGTGAGTGGTCCCTGTGGGGGCCGTGCTCCAAGAAGAAGAGGCTGTGCGGCTTCCGGAGGGGCTCTGAGGAGCGGACACGGAGGGTGCTCCACGCCCCCGGGGGAGACCACGCTGCCTGCTCCGACACCAAGGAGACCCGCAGGTGCACAGTGCGGAGGACACCCTGTCCTGAGGGTGAGCTGCGGCCTCGGCCTCCCCAGGGCTGGGAGTCAGGGACCGCCACGGAGGTGCGGCCGCTTCCGCCTCCTGCCTGTCGCCCAGGGCCAGATGGGAACCCCAACTCCGGGTGCCAGGTCCCGGCAGAGAGCAGTCCCCAGGACTCTGTGTGGTGGGAGCTGGGACCTTCAGTGTCCACATCCCTCCAGTTTCCCCATCTCTCGGGAGCCAGCAGAGGTTTGGCACCGGAAGGACCCTCGGAGGTCAGATGGGGGCACAGAAGGGGATGCTAAGACCCAGAGAGGTGCGGTGACGTGACCAAGGTCACGCAGGCAGTAGGCGACAATGATGGGGCAGCTGGCCCTGGGGGCAGGGGAGTCGGGGGCTGTCCTGCTTGTCCTGAGAGCTGCACCGAACATCTTGGCCCCCTGGGGCCCAAGGTCTGAGGAGGTCACAAGGATGAGGAGGGCGTCTGGTTCGTCGAGGGGTGGAGGGTGAGAGGCTCCCGGACCCCCGTCTCTGTGCCCATGTTGCAGGGTCCTCTGAAGCAGCCGCCAGTCAGAGGAAGCCTTGAGGGGTCCCCAGCTGCCTAAAGGCAGCGACTCCAGCCCCCCTGCTGCCCGGCCCCCCCGGCTCCCTCACCACCCCCCCCCCCCCAAGAGCCCTCGGCCATGCCCAGGGCCACCTCGCTTGCTGTGGGACATCCTTTGTTGATTCTTCCTGCTGTTGGGGTTGCAGGGCAGAAGAGGAGGAAAGGTGGCCAGGGCCGGCGGGAGAACGCCAACAGGAACCTGAGCAGGAAGGACAGCAAGGAGGCGGGCGCCGGCTCCCGGAGACGCAAGGGCCAGCAGCAGCCGCAGCACCAGGGGACAGCGGGGCCGGTCACGCCTGCAGGGCTCACCTAGGGGCCTAGGGACATGCTTCAGCCTCCAGGCCTGTGCAGAAAGAGTCCAGCGCTGCTCTGTGTGATGAAAGCTTTACTGAACTGGAGCGCTGGGGGCACAGCGTTCACACGCTCTCCATACGTATACGGACACACACACACACACACACACACAAGGGTCCATGGCCAAACATGCAACCAGCGTACATGTGTGCATCCGTGCGCGCGCGCACACACACACACACACAATCGAGGCCACCGGATGACACTTTTATCTCCCGGACGTCACCGTGTGAACAGGGTGGGGAGGTGGAGGGGTCACCTCCGCCTGGCAGAGGGCCCAGCGTCACAGACTTGGTTTGCGATGCTCCCAAGGGACATGTCAGAGAGACCATTTCCCCGCGTGCAAGCCCAAACAGAGTGGAGCCTTCTGGAGGAGCTGATAGGATCAGTCCAGGGTGGCAGACAGGAACCAAAGCTCAAGGCCTGTTCAGCATCTCCAGCTGTGTGACTTTATCATTGGAGAGTATTGTTACACACCCATGATCCGTGTCAGGGCTGCCCCAACTCTGAAAACTGCTTAAAAGTTTATTTCAAATTAAAAACAAAACCAAATGACAACAGTAGCCACAGACAGCACGTTCCTTTTCAGGGTCCAGGGGTTGGTGGGGTACACGGGAGCAGGAAGGAACAGGGCTGAGTTTTGAAGAGATCCCCTAATGGCCTTCTGGATGGAGGGTCCAGAGCAGGAAGAAAACTTTGGGGATACTCTGAGGGTGATAACCAGCTTCTCTACATCCTTATTACTCAGAGTGTGGTCTGCATCAACGTCGTCACCGGGCGGCCCGTTAGAAGTGGGAGTCTCGGGTCACATCCCAGACCTGACGAACCAGATTCTGCGGTGTAACAAGGTTCCAGGTCCCTGACGTGCACATTCAAGTTTAAGAAGTACTGCTCGGATTACCTCTGCAGACGGAACCAAGGTCCTGGCCACCTGGCCTCGGGAAGGGTTCTGGTCGGCCGTGCAGGAAGACTTGCCATCTGGGAGAGGTAGAATCTGCGTCCTGGGGGGGGGGGGGGGGTTAGTGGCACCCTAGGGGCCAGGGACACCCAGGTTGTCTGGGATGGTTGGAAACCCTTGGATCCCAAAGACAGAACGGTGGGTAGAATGACCTCTTGTGGCATCCCCAAGTGTCCACTGGTAGCCTAATGGGCCCCAGGCACCGGACTCAGTGTTTGGTTTCCAGGGGGAGCCAGGCAGGGACCTTGCCCTCACAGAAGTAGAGGTTGGTAGGGGTGACAGTCATGGACCAAGGGATCCTTCCGATAAGTGTGTAATCACAAAAGGGTGGAGTTGAGGCCAGGCAACCCCTGGCACGTACACATAGCTATGAAAGTGAATTAAGGTGAATCGAAATAAGACTTTATCTCAGGGAAGCTTTTCAGAGAAGGTGGTATTTGAGTCAAGCTCTGAAGGGTGAGTAGGAGTTAAGACAGAGAAGGAATGGCGTTCTAGACCAGTGCTGTACGATAGAAATATCATATGAGCCACTGATGTCATTAAAAAGTTTTCTAGTGACCATGCTTAACGAGTAAAAAGAAACAGGCGAAGTTAATTTTAATAATGTCTTTTATTTAACCAAATAGATGCTAAAATGTTACCTCTTTAACATGTAATCAGCATAAAAATGATTAACAACATCTTTTACATTTTCTTTTTCAAACTAAGTCTTCACCACTCTGTGTATATTTACACTGCACAGCATATCTTAATTTGGACACGGAATTCTCACCGGAAATACTTGATTTGTATTTAGATTTCAGAAAAATTGAAAAGTAGATTCGCATACTGAATTCCTGGTTCAGGAATAGTTAACGGTTTTCCAACTATTGAATTGAATATGTTTTAAATTTTAAATTGAATAATTAAAATTAGATAACAGTAACGATTCAGGTCTTCAGTTGTACCAGCCATGTTTCGAGGGCTCACTAGCTACATGCTACTGTGTTGGACAGCAGAATTATGTATAGGGGGCACTGTACATGCAAATGTCCTGTGGCAGAAAGGAGCGTGGTGTTCAAGGGACTAAAAAAAAAAGCCAATGTAGCTGGAAGGCCTGGAGGGCAAGTGAGGTGAGAGGATTCCAGAAAGATCTCCCAGAGTTGGGTCTTTATTCTGAGAGCCAGGGGAAGCTGCTACAGGATTTTAAGCAGCAGGCCAACATGCCCAGATTTGCATTTTGCAAAGATCCTGGAGGCTGTCGTGTACAAGACAGATGGGAGGGAAGCTGCCTAGGGGGCTGTTGCTGTCATCCAGGTGAGAGGTGTTGGAGACACGGACTAGAGGAAAGGGAGACATGTGGATAAAGTCAAAAGGCATTTGGAGGATAATAAAGTTGGCAGAGTTTGGTGATAAACTGGATGTGGAAGAGAGACGAAAGGGAGAGGAGGCTTCAAGGACGAAGTTCCTATTTCTGTCTGGAACACTCACAGGTGAGACGGGGAACCCATGAGGAAGACCAGTTTGGGAGGAGAGGGTTTGGACCGTGGTGAATGTCAGGTGCCTCTGAGACATCCCGGTGACCATGGCGAGTAGATGGTGTGTAAATGCAGATGCAGGTCTAGCGTGTCCGGGGCAAGTCTGAGCTGGAGCATAAACTAGTATAGAGCAGATAATTGAGGCTGTGGGTTTGGAAGAGGTCGAATAGAAAGAGAGCCGGGGGAGGAGCGCGCTCAGGACTCAGCTGTGTGGCCCTCACAAAGATCAGACGGTGGGGAATCAATCCCGGAGGACGCACAGCAGAAGCAGATGAGAAGGACCCAGGGAGCCAGCGAGCAGGAGAGAGATCACGGGGACATATAAAGTGCTCAGGGACCACGTAAAGGAGGACTGGAAATCAACCGTCGGACTTACAACACGTGTGCCAATAGTCACCTCAGCGAGAGCCATTTGGAGGGGTCATGGGGGCAGAAATCGGTAGAGACGGTTCCTCCAGGAAGTTTAGCCCAGAAAAGGGGAGAAGCAGGACAGGGGCTGGAAGGAGAGATGGGGGTGGAGAGAGTCCTTTTTTTTTTTTTTTTTTTTTTTTTTTTAAAGGTGGGAAAGACTTGAACATGTTTAAAACCCACTGGGAAGTGTCCAGTTGAGAAAGAGGTCGAATCCACAGGAGAGCAAAGGGGAAACGAGTAGTGGGAGACCCCTGGCGGAGAGCCAGCTCAACAGCCGGGAGAGGTGTGTGCCGGGGAGGGAAGGCTAGAGGTCTGGAAGGTGGGGGAATCTCAGGTGCGTGCACCTGACACCCTGTGGGATCCTCTCTCTGCCTCTGCCCCTGCCCCTCCCTGTTTCTCTGACAGTCCTCCTCTTTCCCTCTTTTTGGCCCCCTATCTTTCTCTGTTCCCACCTCAGCCCCCGATTCTAGTTGTGCACGCCGTTGTTTCTCTCTGTTCTTCTGTCTCCCTTCTGGGCACCAACCCTCAGCCCCGCCACGTCTTGGCTGCCTCTGGCTCTGATTGGTCCTGATCTCCCAGATCCCCTGGGTCCCCAATATGCAAAGCGTAGCCATGGATCAGCAGCCTCGGAGCTTGTTAGAAACGCAGAATCTCACGCCCCTCCCACACCTAGAGACCCTGAATCTGCCTTAGAGCCCCGAGTAATTCACGTGCATGTTAACTCACGGGCATGCGCGTTGCCTGCAGCGCGCCTCTAAACACCCAAGCAAAAAATCAGAATCTTAGCAAGATGGAACGATCTGAATCCTCCTGCAACTCCTGTGTCACCTTGGTGTTACTCTGAGACCTTCAGCTTCTCCGCATCCACTCCTTAGGCTGCTCCTGAAGCTCTAGGCCAATGGGGAAAGGACCATGACGCAGGCTTCAGCGGGGCCTGAGTTTCCACACCTGCAGAGTTACGGGTGGGAGGGAATTCTCCTGATACCAATATGCCGGGCGCTTCTAGATATGACCTCTTCTTGAAAAGTTAGCCCCGCCTGGACCTACCCCTGTCTGTCTCACTCTATCCTTTAAAGACTAAGAATGTGGTTTTGAGCTGGTGGCGGGGTGTGGGTTCCACACGGTTGGGGGGGGGGCAGTGACCTGTGCATGGCCCTAGATGGAGCCCACCTGAGGCTGTGGACCACAAGGCTTGCCCAAAAGGCACACCTGGTGATTTTCAGGCACACCGGAAAGAGGGAGTGTGGTTGAGATTCCTAACCCTACCCCCCCACCCCCCCCACCCCCGTTCAGGCAAACACAGCACATGATTTTTATGTGGCCATTATGTGCCCACATTGTCATTTGGGAAAGGTTAGTTTTTTCCTCCACAAGGTCGCAGATCTGCCCAGACTAATACATCTCTGTCACCTTACCCAGTGCCAGCGTGGGTATGTTTCAGACCAAGTCTCTAGAGAATGGATTTGTTTTCCACTTCAGGATGTTGAGTGATGGAGTTGTTTTCTGGATTTTTTTAAAGTGGTTTTTCCCCCTCTCTGGTTGGTTTTGTTTGGTTTAGAAGGGCGGTGAGGGAATTTAGGAAAAGGGTCAATTTCCTGGGCCTTGATTCAAGCCCTTGACCCGGGCCCAGGCATTTAGGTGCTTGATCTTGTTCCCTGGCTTCCCATAGCTGTAGTCCAGACCAGACTTAAACGGACGACAGGTGGAAACCCCAGCGAAAGGTGTCAAAGGAAGGAGAAAACAGCCAGCAAGGAGAGCTTCCATTTTGGAGGATTAAAGAGATTCGTTGCGAGGGGGGTTGGAGTACAGTCTGGCTGGTAAAAGTCAGAACAAAAGCCTCGTTATAGGGGAGTAGGGAAGATCTGAAGGTGAGATGCCTCCAGGGTTGCTGAGGCCGAGCATACCAGAGCTGGGTGCACCTGCTTTGGTGTGGTGTGCCTCCTGGCGCTCCCGAGGGAAAGAACCTACACAGGGTGAAGAATAAACAGGTTTTGGCTGGAGGCTTGCTTGAGGCTCCTTCAGCATCGCATAGACCCCGGGTGAGCAGCCACTGAAGGGGCTGGGGGCAGAGCTACAAAACTCTGGTGTCCCCGTTTCTCCGGCACCTCGAGCCTGCCAGGTTGGTGGTGAGGATAAGAGACCCAGGCCTGTGGCTAGAGAAGGTGGCTTGGGTCCTACCCTAGAGCCCTTCCAGAACTTAAGTAGGAAATTGCGAAACAGAGCTACATTTTGAAAGAGAAAGTATGTGAAATATGGTTCCTCCCTCGCCTGTTCGCTCTCCCGGAGCTTGGTGCAGGGAGGTGGGTGAAATGGATTCCTGGCTAGACGCAGCCGGCTGCGGGAAAGAGGGCACAGCCAAGCCCCCAAGGGCCCCTCAGGCCAGGCCACCCCAGCTGCCAGCCTTTGGTTATTGATTATTGTGATCGGGATGTACTTTTGCCATCTGTGGAGCATCAGCCTGGCCCGTGGAGAAGGCCGGCTCCTTGCTCTGGCCGAAAAGGCTGGCTTCTGAGGGCTCCCTCTGCAACCCCATACGTACCATGGGCTGCTGATTAAATACTTGGAATGTCTTCAGGTTGAGCGAGGCCTATCCATAAAATGGGAGGCATTTTGGCAGTTCCAAGGCCCCTGGCACCCAGTCTTGGCACTAGCCCGGCTGTCTTCTTCAAGGAGCTGGGGTGGGCTTCCCGCCAGCATGCTTCCCTGGGAAACATCGAAG